GTCCACTTCACCTTCCAGGTCAGGCAGCACTGCGGGCACATGCTGTTGGTCGTTCTCCCTCATGGTTCCCTGCTCGGCAGTTCCCCCTCCAGGTAGCGGTTCGGAGGTGCCCATCACTTCTGCAAGGCTGGCTTCTCCCCAGTCTGGTGTCTCGGGTGCTCGGCTCTCCACGGGCGGCCTTGTCTCCTGCTGGGTCTTGGCTTGTCGCTGGACCGCTGAATGCGGTCCGTCTCCCCTTCACCAGGCGGGCCTTGACTTTCTTCTTCACCCTTCGAGCGTCTGCCAGTAGTTGTGGTATTCGGTGCGGGTAGCGCATGATGAAAACCCGCGTTTCATCAGTGATGCGCGGCAAAAACTGGTCCGTGATGCGACCAACTTATCCGCAGCCTCGGCAAGGTGACGCCTTGAGAGGAGCCTCCCCCGGAAGGTGTGGAAGGCCTCTTCGTCAGCTTCACTCACTGGCTCCCCCTTTTCATCACACAGTTTCCCAGTCAGCTCATCGCGCTGCAAGTCACGTCCTATCCACTTGTCCAGCGGGCTCGGGTGGAAGAGCAAATGTAATCCCCCTCTTGTCACATGCTGTACCATATGGTCGACGCCTGTCGTTGTGGCGGGCGGCCCTGTCAACCGTCCCCCCGTTCCTGAGGAAGTGCCTCCACTGGAGTTCCCCACCTCGTTTCTCTGCGGCGCAGTGTCAGAGGGAGGTGTTCCTCTCGGCGGCGTTGGCTTCCCCCGCAGCTTCGCCACAGCGGTAACTTTCACGGTTGCCCCCGGCTCTCTGCACAAACGGCACTCTGTCATCACTTGCTTCCCAGGAAGATCGCCACTTAAGCAAAACAGCAGCGGGTATGTGACTCAAGCATGGCTGGGAGAACCGGGAAGACTTTTCTGGGGTAACAGTCCAGGTTAACCCCCCGGCTCCCCCCCGATGCAAGGAGGCAGCACAAGCCTCCAAGCAAAGGTGCAGTACTTGAGCCAAAATGGCTACTGTCTCTCTCTCTCTCTCTCTCTCTCTCTTTCGCCAGGGCTAGGGTGTAGGGGTTTCTCTCTCTCTCTCTCTCTCTCTCTCTCGCCAACAGAAGTTTATGCTAACGCACTACCAATTGTCCCGCGGGTTATGCTTGTTGTTGCTTGTTTATGTCTGCTTCTCTGGTGTTGGGGGGTGGGGGGGGCTAGTTTCGTTCTGTCTGACGACGTCCATCACACCCTTGCTCTGCTGCTGCTGCTGCCCCTGCTGCTGCTGCTGATGCCAGTGCTGCTGCACCTGTACTGCACGGTCACAGTCATGTACTCTGTAGTTAGGTTGCTCTCGCGTTTGCAGACCAAGCTGCCTGCGCTGTGCCAGCCCTTTCTGCTCAACGTAGTCCCGAACCCGGTAACCCCAAACAAACATCCCAAGCGTGCAACCCCAAAACCCTGCAGCTGGAAGCTTAAAGCCAGCATCCGAGGCCCTAGCGAAGCAGCGCAAACCCCAAAACCTCCAAGCTCAAGGCTTAAACCAGATATCCCAAAAAACTCGTTTCGCTTGGCAGAAAACAGGCAAAACACTACTTCCAAACATGAAACAATAGCGAAACAAGGACCCCAAAACTGTAGAGGTTGCCCAAGCCTGTCTCCCAAAACATGAACGGACAAAGCAGAAATTATCGTTTTACCTCGGTAAAGCTGCGATTTTGCCCTGAGGCCCGCCTAGACTACAAAAGCACGGCAACAACGAGGCCCACAAACATATTCACCGAACGAAAACACCAAAAGGCAATTTTACCCGGAAAACTTTAAAGACATGCTCCCGGACAGCCATCAAATTCCAAACCTTGCTTTCGCCGAGGCAAAAACACCAAAAACACTCCTTCACAAGATAAAATAATGACGACAGCGAGTCCCGAAAACTTGCTCGGTTGCGCAACGATGTCTGCCAAAACAAGAATTCATAATCCAGAAATCAGCGTTTTACCTCGGTAAACTACCATTTTGCCTGAAAAGGCACCCCTGCTATCGTGCGGGTCCTTTCGCGGGGCGTTACCAAGTTTATGCGCACTGTCACGGCCGTCACCCCGTTCTACATGCTCGGTCTTCAATGAATCATGCCCGTATTTGCAAATACATGCCCATGTCTATACGTGTGCGCGCATGCACATGCTGCAATCTCTGCTTGGATACCGTGTGTTGGCCATGCTCCAGGATCTGATTTACCTTGGCTTTTCTCCGCTCCTTCTCGACAGGTTCCCGGCTGATAAATCGAAGAAACACTCGACTCGAAGACTAAAAAGGCTTGGGAGGAGTCGCTGCTAGTTGACTCAAGCCTTATCGAAAGCATATCAAAGCCCTTCGTGGAGTAAGATCACTTCGCAGCCAGAAAATTACAAAGCCAACAGAAGTCGCGGTCAGCAGTGGCACGGGCTTACCTAAACTGCGAGTCGCATCCGGGGCCGCGGCAACTTCTGCACACTTTGGGGCGCATCGGATCCAGGCGGACCATCAGCCTCGCAGAGTTTTTCGCCATGCAGCGATGCATGTCCACAACAGTGCCACCTTGGAGATGGAAGGCGAACTCACCGTCGCGTGAATAGGCATTGATGATTTGTCCTCCTGCTCTGCTCAGTGTCGTCAAACGTAGTCACACTCTGACAGACTGGTGCTCACTCCAGCATGTGGTGGAGATAGTCGGAGTGTTAAGCCGTGCTAGCTGCTAGTTGCGCACACGTATCCAATCTAATTACGAGGCTTGGGCTTCAACTGCTGACCGCACAACTTGGGAATCCTCTGAGTGTCGGCTTAGGGAATCTACACCGTACCTCGCATCTGGTGATATCTGGTGTACAGCTGCCGCTTTCGCGTCATCTGGTTTACACACGTGCCATTCCTTGCCCATGTTTTGGGTCATCTCTTCCCTCACTCTAAACATCACAGACACCGTTAGCTTCCTCCCGACCGTCAAAGCCCTCGCTACATTGCATACAACTTCAGGAATGACATTAAATTCCATGCATATGCCTTTATCTTCAAGCATACTTCGGAAGAGACCGTGCGCCTCACCTAAGTGCTCCCGCAACTCCGCATCGCAACAGAAGTTGTATCATTGTGCTATCGTGAATGCCCTCTCCAACATCGGCATATGAGCTGTGCAAGCATGCAGCCTGACAACTGCCCAGATACAACTTACCCGATTCAGATATTTGGCCGCCCGGTACCGTCGGATTCACGCCTTCACCTGTCTTGCAACGGGACAGCATGCGACTCAGACAACTGCGACGGTCTGAAGTAACGAAGTGACTGCTGTTGCATAAGACAGATTCTCTCGATTCCAATTTCTGTTTGCCTCTCCCTAGCAGCCCGAGCACTTTCTGCCCTCCAACCGTCTGTGTGCAGCGTAGTTTGACAAAGGAGCGTGAGCATGTGACATGAGAGCAAGCATGGCATCCCAAATCTTTCCGGCAAGTGCAATCGCTGTATCTGCAGAGGATCACTCCTCTCTCTTGCTACTGGGAACGAAGAAGGTAGAGGTAGGGGAGATGCCCGTCAATCCACGCTGTGCTGCTAACATGCTTGTGTACAATTTCTGCACAAGGTTGGGGACGCAGCTTAGGTGAGAGAATGTTGCACTCGCAGTTCACGTTGTTTCTGCGGGACTCCATTTCCAGCATTTGGTCTGGAAACTATGACTAAGGAGTGTGGGTGTGTGGGTGGGCGGGTGGGTGGGTCGAGCTTGTATGCGGATTCGTGTGCTTGCTGCACTTGCGCGTGCATGTGTGTGTGTGGGTGTGCTCGCAAACGAGACAGAACCGGAGTTCATACAGCACACGCAAGTGCCTCGCGGTGGGTGCTGCCTGATTGGCCTTGTGCGCCGATCACCTCCGGCTCTGCTTCCGGGGGCTCCACGAACTTCGACCTCTCATCAGAAACGGCCAGGCACAGGACTGACAGGACGAAGAAGCTAAGAAGGAAACTTCTTAGCAAGGTCCACTGCATGGCCTGGCATGGTGCGGGACAATACCAGGCATCCAGCGCTTTATCACGAAGATGCAGACAAGGCTGAGCCGGGTGGACTCAACAGTTCAATTCTGGTGTGGTACTGCTCCAGCAAATTGTCTGACAAACCGTCCCACAGCCTCGCACCGCAGCAGAAAGAGGCCCATGCTGAAATCTATTGCATGCTCCGATTGGAGAGACCGGAATGAGGCTCAGATGCTCGCTGCAGCCGAGCTCTGAGAGCCCTTGCATAGGACGAAGCCTCGCCATGCAGCCTTCTGGCTTTGCTTAAAGTTCCAAGACGCGCCTTTGCCATCTGCATCTCCACATCTCCGTCCTCCTGGCAGACAAAGCACAAGCATAGCTGTTATGGCCATGCCATAGCAATTTGCAATGAAACGTACTTCGCATGGGGACATTCAAAAGTTTACAGTTTACGATGGAATCGATATAGGAAGAAGCACAACAAGGCTCAATCCACTGGAACCAGGTCCGTCAATTGCTTGTTCTTGTAGGCTTGCCATGGCTTGCCTCAAGACTGCCCGACCCAAGGGCAGTTTCCACGTGCGCCAGCAGAAACAAAAACCTAACGAGCAGCAGCACAGCAATTGCAAGCTCATGTCACGAGGCCAAGGTCCAAAGCTCAGGATCGTGCTCCGTGGACGGAGGCAGATACCTGGGCAAATTTGCTTCCAGTTACTTCCCACACCCTTCGATGAACCATTTGCCTGTCTCCGCTGGCACCATCGGTGGCCATGCCCTGAAAGTCTTTATTTACCTTTCCCCGAGGGCTATCGTTTCTTCCCCGTACACTTCGTGTGGCTTCAGTTGCACAGAGCCCTCAGTGTCGCATGTGCAGACTGTAAAGCTATAGCCGAAGCACATCCCACAGCGCATACACGGAAGGGCGAGTGCTGCCAACAAGGTACAGAAGTATTTTTTGATTGTCTGGAGCCTCCAAATGGCTGGTGGCCGCAGCCCGTTTCTGCAAACTTCCACAGCTCTGAACTAATGCGGCTGCATCTTTTTTCTCAACCACAGCCGGGATCTACTTGCTGATACTGTTGTCTGCGATGCTCACAACATTGCGACCTTGATCGATTTGCAGTCCATCTGAGCAACCATTATCCCTTCCGCCTGTTGCCCAAGAACCGCACAAAGTTCTCCCGACCTTGGAGCCGTGTGTCTGCAGATGGGAAGCAGTGACAGCAGAACTATGCAGATGACTGTTTGATTGCTTGGCATGGCTTGCTTCTTGCTGCGCGACCCAGTGAGCGCTGGAAGTCTTCACTTTGCTGGTGAGCGGCTCTGCCTTCGCACTGCAGACATAGACCGTTCATATAGATCCAACAGACATTGCATAGCGAGACGCGAAAAGTGTCTAAGCGACCAGCAACTGTCTCAGCAAAAGCAGCGCATAGTAGCCAGAGGACACACAGGTAAAGCAGGAAGACCTGAGAGGCAAAAAAGAGCTCTGATGAGACCAGGCGTCCGTCGGCTTCTAGGCTTTCGACCTGCGGTGTCCACGGCAGACCAGGCCAAAGACCTGACGGGGAGATACCGGCTTCTGACCACCTACAACCACATTTCATGCCTCCTGCACCAGGTGCCCGAATCCACAGAAAGAGGTCATGCCTGCAAGCAGGCAAAAGCAAAGCTCAGTGTCGGCCATCTGGCTTGAAAGTTGAACTTTGCTGAGCTTGATGGCACTCCCATGCTTCAGACTCTCTTGCAATTTTTCACATTTGCGACACGGCTTTGCGCGCTAACCTATCAGGTGGATTGCCAAGTCTGCGTCGTCAGTTGTCCGGGATTGGCACGGCATCTAGCTGCCCACGATGGGAATTGCATAAAGCAACCTCTTGGGTTGGGTTTCCATCATAGTTATCATCGTCGTCGAAGTCAGCCTCCACAATACGGTTTCTCGAAAGGCAGCCAGTGGCTTGACTCTCGTGTGGGTAAGCTGGCACGACGACACCGATCGACCCATATACGCCACCGAAAATGACACGAGTACATTCCAGACACTGTATGCTACTGTCAGGATCTACGCTCCGGCAGGTTGCTGCATCATCTCCGGCACCGAAGTGGCGATGCTTTAGGAACTTTTCAAACCCTGCGCTGGTATCGCTGCGGAAAAGCCAAACTTCAACCTCGTGGAGTTCGGGGTCCGAGCCTGCCATGCCTGCATGCTGGGATTGCAGAATGCATTCAGTCCAAGATGGCTCTGATGTGGCTGTCGGTATTGCTGGAGGCGGTGCAAGCTCGACAGGGCCACCTAAAGCTGCCGGTCGCTGCTCAGTCTCCGCACGCGTACAGGACAGAAGGCCATGAGCAAGACCTGTCCTCCCGCAAAAGGCCATCTGTTCAATCAGTCTCTGCGATTGCCAGCATGCGAGTAGACCGAAGACGATTCCATGCTTGAGGCGTCCCCTCCGTGTCGCACGGACAATCACTAGCTCCATGGCAGGGTCTTGGTGCAACCGCTGAACTCTACAGCAGCTACTAGCCAAAAGCCAAGCCAGCATATCCAAACCAAACATGCTCAAACCACACAGCTCTCACTCGCCATGCCGGCACTGAATGGGCCCTGTCAGGAAACCTTTTTCAACACCACCATGACCTTCAGACACCACCATTGGCACATCTCACACTCATCGTCTATCCTCAAGCCCTTCTGCTGGCCGGCAGCTGTTTGGCTGAATTTTGTTGCATAGATCCTAACTCTGCAGAGTTCAGACAATACAGCCGTAGCTGAGTCTTTTCGTTCTGCGAAGGTTTTCCTTCAGATGCTGCCAGACATGGGCAACTGCGAAAAACATCCTAAAACAGCAAGCAGCGAGACATCTAAACGTATATGTCCAACACTGAGAAACTGCAGCAGATGCGAGGCTGGGGGCATAGCACAGCAGTCTGCAGCAAGTAGACCTCCAAAGTGTACCGGCCCAGCCTGACCTGTCGTGCATTGAACAACCATATTGGGCATTGCAGCACTAGTGTTCTCAAAACTTTCTCTGAAATTACGCCAGCTTCACCAGGATCTTCTGCGAAAGGATGCGAGCCAACAACGAGTTTCCATTGGACGTAACTGGCCATGCTCTCTTTCAGTGGTGCTCGGAAGGCAACGCCCTCCGCTCTCCTACCCTCTTGTCGCGAAACGTTTTAGCCTCATTAGCCTGAAGCATGCCGCCGTGGCAATAGATGAATGTGCACAAGAACGGCGCGGAGAGTCGAGCAGACCTCTGACCCCGATCGTTCGTGGGTTGATTGGCAGTTATCTGAGATTGAAACTGAACATGAAGCCGCGAAGGCAGGTCAGGGACGGACAGCTGTTCCCAAGCGATGTAATGCCCAGGCCTTCGCCGAGACCACACGAGCCAAATCGAAAAGCCCAACTGTTGTTGAACCTCCACTGCGCCGGACCACCCCAGTCGGGTGGTCTTTCTGGGACCGGAACCTCCAGGAGAGACTTCCTATAAGCAGAAGCAGTGTCGCAGCAGCTCAAAACTCACAGAATTCCCACGTGCCCCTGCCAGCGTGCACGTCAGGAGCAGGCTCAACATTGACAAATCCCCAATCCATCCGACCTCAACACACCAGCTCGTCTAGAACGATGTGCTGTTCAGGCATTTCTGCATTGCTGCTGTTCTGTACATGATCAGTTCCGTGGCGCCCGCAGCTGCACAAGGAGGCTTTCTAAGTACCTATGCCAGCTTGCCAACAGACAGCGCAATACCCAAACTGAACTGGAACAGCAAACCTGTGCTTGAGTAGCGTGCCAGTGCTGCCACGCTTGCGCCTAACCTGCGAATGGAGTTCATCACAACTTGTGTGCAAGCGTGAGCATCGAATCGTTCCTCAATCTTGTAAGTCTGGCACATGAAATCTGGCAAGAGAGCTGGTGGCCAAAACCAGGTGAAGGTAAATTCCGTCCATTCCAGCCAAGCCCCGCGAGAAAGCCTCGGACGGATCAAACGACAGCGCACTCCACCACCTGTACGTGGAATCCGACCCAACGCGCCGGTCCCGAGCGATACCTCCCCGATCAGCACGACTCGACCATCCGCAAGAGTCAGGAGTAACTGCAAGCATGCCAAGACGTGCCGTGTCGGCTTCTCTTGGAGAAGTTCGTGGTGCTGGGTGAAACCACGCTTGTCCCGACCTCTGCTCTTGCAAAGTAGGTGCACGCCTGTTAGAGACGGCTCCGGTTTCCACACTCCACATCTTTGTCTTCACGGGTGGAACTTGCATGCTCTGGTCCTCAAAGCGACGTTGCTAATATGTAGATACACCTGGTTTTCGGTCCCTTCCTAGTGCCCTTATTCAGTCTGTCTCTCTTGCAACACCAACGCGAACGAGCGTGTGGGGAAGCACTTCGAGGAATATGCTGCAAAACTCACTTCTGTGGTGCGGCCAATCGGGCCACCAACCACATCAGGCTAAGTGGCCCACATCAGGCACAGCCTCAGACTCAAAGGTGATACAGGCTTCCTGGCTGCAAAGGAGGTTTCGCTGCTTGTGCAGAACTGAGGTAGCCGCTGCGGTACGATGGCGAAGCACCAAGCGGCGACGGCCAAGCAACTCAGATTTCCAGCAGCATGCAGGCACAAAACAAATGACGAGATCCACGCGGTCTGAGCTGCGCGCACATGTCCGCCCGTGGACCGGTTCCTTCAAACTGAACTAACTTATTTCGAAGCGAAGTCGCCAGCTTCACATCAAGTCACGAAACAGTGGACGGAGGCACGTGACAGGCGACTGGGCCCCGTGCCACCCCAACATTGGTCTGAACACCGGATACAGCAGCCTGTGCCGAGCAACTCGAACTAAGTGCTTAGCAATTGATACGCAAAACACTTCCCGATACCAGCTGTCATGGTAGCACTATGTAGCACTCGACTTGTGCTTCAAGCTAACCCCAAAGGACGACACACGACGTCATTGAGACAAGCCGAGCCGATGCGCCACGAAGGGAGCATAGATACCAGAAACCATGACGGCATGTTCGGGCCTCGGCGGCGGGTGTGTGTGGATCTTGCACAGCGCAGGAAACCCAGTGTACACAAAATTGAAACCCATAAGCGCATAGGACCTCTGATTCAGCACCCCGATGGAATTCCGGCGAAGATGAAACAAGGAGACTCTTGGGCTGAGCCTTGTCGGAGCTTTGTTCCGCTGTTCGCGGTTTTGCTGCCAACTAAAACCAGTTGGTCAAAGGGCAGGTGGGAGAGGGTGTGCGAGGACTGCCCCCGTACACATTGAAACAACAAATATGCACCTATGACATCACTGCGTATAGTCTGCCTGGGTGCATGCATTCTCCCATGCATCCATGTGTCCGTGTGTGTGTGTGTATGTCTCCGTGTGTGTGTGTGTGTGTGCGTGTCTACGTGTGTGTGTGTGTGTGTGTGTGTGTGTGAGTCTGTGTGCGTGTCTGTGTGTGTGTCTGTGTGTGTCTGTGTGTGTGTGTCTGTGTCAAACGTTTCACCTCTGGCTTATCTCCTGCAGCTCCTCTACGAGATCTTTCGTAGAGCTACGTTCACAGCTAAGACCAAAAGACGTCGAAAACATGACTTCCAATTCATCCACATCGTCCAGTTCTGAGTCATTGTCTTCAACTTTGTCATCAGTTCTGAACCAAGGTGCCCTGAGCCATCGCAAGGTTTGAAACCTGTTCCAACCACCGCTCAATTTTCGGTTTCGAAATAAGACTCGAATCAGTACCAACGAAGCAAGAATTTTCCTAAAGATGGGACCATCTTGCACAGCACACAGGATGAAACCTCTGCCAGATTGAATCAAGCTCAACGGCAGTTACAATCTTGCTAGTCCAAATGAACACTACTGCTGTCAAGAGACCTCGTGCCCCATCTGTCAAGATCTCAGAAGGACGAGCAGAGCCAAGCTCATGCTCAGATTAGTAAGCGCTTTACCAAAACCAGGAAAGGCCAATGCTAACAAGTTCAACCAAGTGGCGAAGAGTTACTTGTCACACTCTGCCAAATACGCTTCAAAAACAAAGTGTCCGAGCACGATGCAGCTTATAGCAACTTTCGAGTGCTTCAAACTGCTGTCATCATTCAGCCACTGAAACATGCTCAAGACTCCCGATGGCGCCTGAGTTTTTCAGCACTGAAAATGACCTTTATAAGAACTGCTGACCAAGCTGACACGCCGCTGCCACGGAGCGTCGTCCGATGTACTGTGTATGTTGCAATTGACAAGCTTGTCATTGTCCATTACGAAGGACACCGATGTTTGGATCTCGTCGTGTGGGGCACCGACAACATTGCACAGTTGATGCAACTCACTGCGGGAAATATACTGCACGTACCGAGTGGGAGTCGTGTGCCCACCAACGTCATTTCGTCTTCGCCAAAGAGGAGTACGCTTCTCCTACCTGGAATCAGTGTCAGCATTTCACACAAGTCAACCCATGTTCGCGCAAAACCACTAGTCAAAGCAACGAGCGGTTGTGCCTTCATGTCCCTCATTGGATTCTGATAAAGCTACATGCAGGACCAGAACAGTCCACAGTGTCTGATTGCGATTGTACAGGTAAATGTTATACGAATGATGCTTTGCAAATGAATTGAGAGTGTCGGCGTTGGGGGGCGCTAAACCGTCTGTTCCACTCGCTCCACTCGCTCTACCGTTCCACTCGTTCCACTCGCTCCACTCGTGCCACTCGCTCTACCGCTCCACTCGCTCCACTCGCTCCACTCGTGCCACTCGCTCCACTCGCGCCGCTCGCGCCACTCGCTCCACTCGTGCCACTCGCTCCACTCGCTCCACTCGCTCTACCGCTCCACTCGCTCCACTCGCTCCACTCGTGCCACTCGCTCCACTCACTCTACCGTTCCACTCGCTGGAGCGTGGCGCGAGTGGCGCGAGTGGCGCGAGAGTGGCGCGAGTGGCGCGAGTGGAGCGAGTGGCACGAGTGGTGCGAGTGGAGCGAGTGGCGCGAGCGGAGCGAGTGGCGCGAGCGGCGCGAGTGGCGCGGACGAGGTTTTGGGTATGCCTATATATTTTTAAAATTAGTAAAAAGAGTTCGTCGCCTGCTTCATTTTTTCTCTCGCCCCCCTTCTTCATTTTATCTTTCGCCCGGTTTTCGCCCAGCTCCGCCATACACGTATTACAAAAGCGTTCGCGGGGCTCTGCATTATACGTTTATTTCATATTTTATGTAATCATTTATGCAATATCTTAATCAAAAAAATGTGATGGTGGTTTCCCGTAATTTGGTATATATGTATTAAGTTTGCTTTTATGTTGTCTTATAAATTTCGCTTCGTTTTCCCACAAGTCTTGTTTATTAATATCTGTAAACTCCTCCAACAGTTGTATATAAAAGCAATCGGTGCCTAATTCTCGCATACACGTGTAAAGCTTCGTATTCTGATTAGACCATTTCATTCGTGCAGTGCTTCTGTGCACGGCTAGTCTTTTGTCTATCGGCTGTCGCGTTGAGCCTATGTAAGTTAAATCATTCTTTGTGTTTTTAATAATATATATCCGTCCTGGATTTTGTTTATCACCGGTCATTACCTATAAATACAAGTTGTTGTTTCTTTAAGCCGGACACAAAAGCGTTCGGGCCGTGCCCCGCATCACAAGTTTATTTAATAATTTAAGTAATAGATTACATAAAATATTTACAAAAGCGTTCGGGCGTGCTCCGCATTATACGTTTGTTTAATAATTTATGTAATCTATTACATAAAATATTTACAAAAGCGTTCGGGCCGTGCCCCGCATCACAAGTTTATTTAACAATTTATTTAATAATTTAAATAAGTTATTCTACAAAAGCGTTCGGGCCGTGCCCCGCCTCATAAGTTTATTTAATAATTTATGTAATAATTTACATAAAATATTTTACAAAAGCGTTCGGGCCGTGCCCCGCATCACAAATTTATTTAATAATTTATGTAATAATTTACAAAAAATATTTTATAAACAATATGTTGAAACTGATACAAAAGCGTTCGGGCCCTGCTCCGCATCACAAGTTTATTTAATAATTTATTTAATAATTTATTTAATAATTTATTTAATAAATTTTACAAAAGCGTTCGGGCCGTGCCCCACATCACAAGTCTATTTGATAATTTATTTAATAATTTAAATAAGTTATTCTACAAAAGCGTTCGGGCCGTGCCCCGCCTCATAAGTTTATTTAATAATTTATGTAATATTTTATTTAATAATTTACATAAATTATTTACAAAGCGTTCGGGCCATGCCCCGCCTAACAAGTTTATTTAATAATTTACATAAAATATTTTACAAAAAGCGTTCGGGCCATGCCCCACCTCATAAGTTTATTTAATAATTTATGTCATAATTTATTTATAATAATATTTTATGTAATAAAATTACATAAAATATTTTTAATAAACAATATATTGAAACTGATACAAAAGCGTTCGGGGGGCTCTGCATTATACATTTATGTAATAATTTATGTAATAATTCTTGTAATAATTTATGTAATAATTCTTGTAATAATTTATGTAATAATTTATGTAATAATTTATGTAATAATTTATTCAATAATTTATGTAATAATTCTTGTAATAATTTATGTAATAATTCTTGTAATAATTTATGTAATAATTTATGTAATAATTCTTGTAATAATTTATGTAATAATTCTTGTAATAATTTATGTAATAATTTATGTAATAATTTATGTAATAATTTATTCAATAATTTATGTAATAATTCTTGTAATAATTTATGTAATAATTCTTGTAATAATTTATGTAATAATTTATGTAATAATTCTTGTAATAATTTATGTAATAATTCTTGTAATAATTTATGTAATAATTTATGTAATAATTTATGTAATAATTTATTCAATAATTTATGTAATAATTCTTGTAATAATTTATGTAATAATTCTTGTAATAATTTATGTAATAATTTATGTAATAATTCTTGTAATAATTTATGTAATAATCTATGTAATAATTTATGTATTAATGTATTTAAATAAGGTTGAAATGACGGCTGGTGTCATAATATATATAGTCGTATCTATCTAACTGTTATGATATGCTAGGTTAGCCATTCTAGACCATAACTTAGATATATAGTACAAAAAATATTTTTCAAAAAATATTTTTTAAATTTTTTTTTTAATTTAACTTGGTTTTTGACCAGCATACTGTCATACCTGTAATATAGTTAACTGTTTTATTATATATTTTAAATAAGTATAATATATATAATAATAATATAATAATAATATATATGTATTTAGTTAGTTGTTATGATATGCTAGGTTATATGCTAGGTTATATACCAAGTTATATATAAATGTTGTTATATAGATAAGGTAAATAAGTTGTATTATGACGGTCTATATTTACGTATGTATATAATGTCTGTATATAATACAATCATAATATAATAATATATTATGGTGGTATTTTAGTCTGTCTCGTCTTCGTGTGGCTCTGTTATTTTTCCTCTGCGTCTCGCGTTGATTTTGTCTTTGTTTTCTTGATATTTCTGCTTAATCAGTTCTTTGTTTGCTTCTCTGTATATCCGTGCTCTCTCATTAATTCTCTCTTTGTTAGCATCTCTGTATTCTTTCAATTTGTCTTTCTTCTGTTCTTTGGTTCTTTCATAATATTCTTTTCGCTTTTGTGCCAGCTCGTCTTTCTTTGCTTCTCGTCTCTCTTTCTCTTTTTGTTTAAAATATTCTTTGTGCTTTTCCATATACTCTTTCTTCTTTTGTTGTAAATGTTCCTTGTTATTTTCATAGTATACTTGCTTTCTCTGGGCTATGATTTCTTTGTTTGCCTTGCTGTATTCTTGCTTCTTCTGTTGGAAGTATTCTTTATGTTTTTCCATGTGTTCGTCCCGTTGTTCTTTTTTCGTCCTTCCTGCGATGTTTGTATTGAGTGTTCCCATCAGCTTTATAAAATGTCCTTCTCTTCGTTTTAGTTCTTGGACTGTTTCACAAGGGTAATTTTCAACAAGCTCAATGAAATAGTG